ATGAGATCCTTGCTGTGTAGGGTAATCTTGGTTGTAGGTTTTTCTCCTTCATCACTTTAAATATGTCCTGCCACTCCCTTCTCGCTTGCACAGTTTCTGCTGAAAGATCAGCTGTTAACCTTATGGTGATTCCCTGTGTGTTATTTGTTGTTCTTCCCTTGCTGCTTTTAATATATTTTCTTTGTATTTAATTTTTGACAGTTTGATTAATATATGTCTTGGCATGTTTCTCCTTGGATTTATCCTTTATGGGACTCTCTGTGCTTCCTGGACTTGATTAACTATTTCCTTTCCCATATTAGGGAAGTTTTCAACTATAATCCCTTGAAATATTTTCTCAGTCCCTTTCTTTTTCTCTTCTTCTTCTGGAACCCCTATAATTCGAATGTTGGTTCGTTTAATGTTGTCCCAGTGGTCTCTGAGACTGTCCTCAGTTCTTTTCATTCTTTTTTCTTTCTTCTGCTCTGCAGTAGTTATTTCCACTATTTTATCTTCCAGGTCACTTATCCGTTATTCTGCCTCGGTTATTCTGCTATTGATCTCATCTGGAGTATTTTTAATTTCATTAGCTGTGTTGTTCATCATTGCTTGTTTCCTCTTTAGCTCTTCTAGGTCCTTGTTAAATGTTTCTTGCATATTGTGTGTTCTATTTCCAAGATTTTGGGTCATCTTTACTATCATTATTCTGAATTCTTCTTCAGGTAGACCGCCTATTTCCTTTTCATTTGTTAGGTCTGGTGGGTTTTTATCTTGCGCTTTCATCTGCTGTGTGTTTTTCTGTCTTCTCATTTTGCTTATCTTACTGTGTTTGGGGTCTCCGTTTTGCAGGCTGCAGGTTCATAGTTCCTGTTTTTTTTGGTGTCTGTCCCCAGGGGCTAAAGTTGGTTCAGTGGTTGTGTAGGCTTCCTGGTGGAGGGGACTAGTACCTGTGTTTTATTGGATGAGGCTGGATCTTGTCTTTCTGGTGGGCAGGTCCACGTTTGGCGGTGTATTTTGGGGTGTCTGTGGACTTATGATTTTAGGCAGCCTCTCTGCTAATGGGTGGGGTTGTGTTCCTGTCTTCCTAGTTGTTTGGCATAGGGTGTCAAGCACTGTAGCTTGCTGGTCATTGAGGGAAGCTGCATGCTGGTGTTGAGATGGAGAGCTCTGGGAGATTTTTGCCTTTTGATGTTATGTGGAGCTGGGAGGTCTTTTGTGGCCCAGTGTCCTGAAGTTGGCTCTCCCACCTCAGAGGCACAGCACTTCCTGGCTAAAGCACCAAGAGCCTTTCATCCACATGAATCATAATAAAAGGGAGAAAATGTAGAATGAAAGAAAGAAAGAATGAAACAAAGAAAGAAATACAGAAAGAAGGAAAGGATAAAATGAAATAAAGATAAAATAGTTATTAAAATAAAAATAATTATTAAGAAAGAAACTTTTTTAAAAGAAAAAACAAAACGGATGTATAGAAGCCTAGGACAAATGGTGAAAGAAAGCTATACAGACAAAATCTCACACAGAAGCATAGACATACACACTCACAAAAAGAGGAAAAGTGGAAAAAAATAATAAATCTTGCTCTCAAAATCCACCTCCTCAATTTGGGCTGATTCGTTGTCTATTCATATATTCTACAGATGCAGGGTACTTCAAGTTGATTGTGGAGCTTTAATCTGATGTTTCTGAGGCTGCTGGGAAAGATTTCCCTTTCTCTTTTCTGTTCGCACAGCTCCTGGGGCTCAGCTTTGGATTTTGCCCCACCTCTGCGTGTAGGTCGCCGCAGGGCATCTCTTCTTCACTCAGACAGGAAGGGGTTAAAGGAGCAGCTGCTTCGGAGGCTCTGGCTCACTCAGGCCACGGGGAGGCACGGGTGCGGATGTGGGGTGAGCTTGCAGTGGCAGAGGGCAGCGGGACGTTGCACCAGCCTGAGGCGTGCAGTGCGTTCTCCCAGGGAAGTTGTCCCTGGATCCTGGGACCCTGGCAGTGGCGGGCTGCACAGGCTCCCTGAAAGGGAGGTGTGGATAGTGACCTGTTCTCACACACAGGCTTCTTGGTGGCCGCAGCAGCAGCCTTAGCATCTCATGACCGTCTCTGGGGTCCACGCTATTAGCCATGGCTCATGCCCGTCTCTGGAGCTCCTTTAAGCAGGGCTCTTAATCCCCTCTCCTCACGCACCAGGAAACAAAGAGGGAAGAAAAGGTCTCTTGCCTCTTCAGCAGGTCCAGACTTTTCCCCGGACTCCATCCCGGCTAGCCGTGGTGCACTAACCCCCTGCAGGCTGTATTCACGCCACCAACCCCAGTCCTCTCCCTGCGCTCTGACCAAAACCCGATCCTCAGCTCCCAGACCCGCCCGCCCCGGCGGGTGAGCAGACAAGCCTCTAGTGCTGGTGTGTGCTGGTCTCCACCAGTCCTCTGTACGGGAATCTCTCCGCTTTGCCTTCCGCACCCCTGTTGCTGTGCTCTCCTCCGCTGCTCTGAAGCTTCCCACCTCCGCCACCTACAGTCTCCGCCTGCAAAGGGGCTTCCTAATGTGTGGAAACCTTTCCTCCTTCACGGCTCCCTCCCACTGGTGCGGGTCCCATCCCTATTCTTTTGTCTCTGTTTATTCTCTTTTCTTTTGCCCTACCCAGGTACGTGGGGAGTTTCTTGCCTTTTGGGAGGTCTGTGGTCTTCTGCCAGTGTTCAGTAGGTGTTCTGTAGGAGTTGTTCCACGTGTAGATGTATTTCTGGTGTATCTGTGGGGAGGAAGGTGATCTCCGTGTCTTAGTCTTCTGCCCTCTTCCTGATTCCTCCCACCACATCTTTTTTATCCATTCACCTGTTGGTGGACACTTAGGTTGCTTCTCTATCTTGGCTATTGTAAAAAATGTTGCTGTGAACATTGGGGTGCATATATTTTTTGTGGTAATATTTTCTTTTTCTTCATATATATACCCAGGAGTGGAATTGCTGGATCGTATGATAGTTATATTTTTTATTTTTTTGATGAACCTCCATACTGTTTTCCACAGTGGCTGCACCAATTTACATTCCTATTGACAGTGTATGAGAGTTCCTTTTTCTCTACATCTTCTCCAACATTTGTTATTTGTAGAGTTTTTGATTATAGCCATTCTGACAGGTGTGAAGTGATACGTCATCATTGTTTTGATATGGGGTTTTGATACTCTGATGATTAGCGATGTTGAGCATTTTTTCATGTGCCAGTTGGCTATCTGTATATATTCTTTGGAAAAATGTCCATTCAGGTGTTCTGCCCACTTTTTAATTGGGTTGTTTGTTTTTTCTGATGATGAGATATATGAGCTATTTATATATTTTGGATATGAATTCCTTATTGGTCCTATCATTTGCAAATATTTTCTCCCATTCAGTAGGTTTCTTCATTTCATTGATGGTTTCCTTTGCTGTGCAAAAGCTTTTAATTTTAATTAGGTCCCATTTGCTTATTTTTGCTTTTGTTTCCATTTCCTGAGGAGTCAGTTCCAAAAAAAACATTGCTACGATTTATGTCAAAGAGTATTCTGCCTGTGTTCTCTTCTAGGAATTTTATGGTTTAGGTCTTTAATACATTTTGAGCTTATTTTTGTATGTGGTGTTAGAGAATGTTCTAATTTCATTCTTTTACATGCAGCTGTCCAGTTTTCCCAGCACCACTTATTGAAGAGACTGTTTTTCTCCATTGTATATTCTTGCCTCCTTTGTCATAGATTAATTGACCATAAGTGCGTGGGTTTATTTCTGTGGTCTCTATTCTGTTCCATTGATCTGTATGGCTCTTTTTGTGACCGTACCATACTGTTTTGATTTTTGTAGCTTTTAGCATGGTCTAAAAGTCAGGAAGTGTGATGCCTCTAGCTTTATTCTTCTTTTCCATTATTGTTTTTGCTATTCAGGGTCTTTTGTGTTTCCATACAAATTTTAAAACTATTTGTGCTATTTCTGTGAAAAATGCCATTGTTATTTTCATAGTGATTGCATTGTATCTGTAGATTGCTTTGGGTCACCAATATTAATTCTTCCAATCCATGCAGTTCTGAGTTTTAATCATGGCTCCATTGCTAGTTTAATGTATGCATGAGATTGTGCCATTTGGCTTTCCTGGAGAATTCAATGGCATATACATTATTAAATCACTGATCCAATCTACTATGTCACTCTCAATTTTTGAAATTTAAAAAGATAGCAGCTATTGATTTTATTCTTAGGTAATTTTGACAAATAATGCATTATAGTATGTACCCAACTCTCTCTGTAAAAATCCCTCTAGAATTTTCCACCCATTATTCTTTTATTCCCCATTACCCTAATGGAATGAGAGTAGTCGTATTATCTAAAGATCTCCTTTCTTGAGTCTCTAGGATATCATTAGATTAATCACTAAACACCAGTTGTGTTCAAAACATTCTATTCAATTCAGTGGGCTCTAGAGGTGAAATAATCTCTGATCTCAAGAAATTTATAATCTATAGGGAACACAGACATGTAAGTCCAATTAATTGTATAAATCAAAATGGATTAAGTACCATAAGAGAGACATAAATAAAGTGCAATGAGATCTCAAAAGTAGTAACAAGTAATTCTGATGGGGAAGAGGTTAAGGATGCTACAGGGAAATGTGAAAAGAGGGAAATCCTTAATAGAAGAAAGCTAAATAGAGGGGGTGGCATTTTTGTTGAGCTTGACAGAATTAGCAGATTTTCAGTAGGTGGGGAAGTAGAGTTAAGGCAATTGCAGTAGAACATGGTGCTCCATAAATCAGGAAAACGACGGTGGTACAAGTTTCTGTGTAAAGCTGCATCCAAGGTTGATTATGTTCTGACAAGGGGTTTATAGCTTTTTCAACACTAGTTTTAATTTTGAGATAATGTTATCCAGTCATGGACCATGTGAGTAAATGCTTAATTGCTTTATAGTGTTCAGTAATAAACTTCTGAACATATATATTAATTAAAAACTATGCTAAGCTTTGTAAGCCTTAAAAGTTATTATTACTACATTCTAATTTCTAATTAGCCTTTCAGACTGAAGGGAAGCTGTACTTAATACTGGATTTTCTCAGGGGAGGAGATGTCTTCACAAGATTATCCAAAGAGGTGAGTATTTGTAAATTTTTGCTATACTTTATTGAAACAAAACTAAGAATAATTGTTTTTTTTTCTTTTGCTAATTACTTTTTTTCCCACGGAAATTTTAATTATTCTTTTTTTGTTACATAGTATTTAGTGAATGTGCCAGTTAATGGCATTTTCTGTCTGCCTGTCATTTAGATCATCTCAATGTGTTACTCATTTTTCTCTTAGGCACAAGATCAGTATAAATAACTGGATGAAGTAGCTAGGGGCAAACCTAGGACTTTGGCTACTCAAGCTACCAAAATGCCTCTGGGAGTAGTGTTTAATTTATTCATGTTTAAAACAGCTTCATGGAGGTACAGTTGACATACACTGAACTGCACATATTAAAGTACATGCTTTGATAATTTTTGACATTTGTATAAACTTGTGAAACCATCAACACAATAAAAATATTTAGTTTATTCATCATCCCCAACAGTTTTCTTATGCCCTTTTTTAATGCTTCCCTCCTGCCTGACCCCTACTCAATCTGCTTTCTGTCACTGTTTGGTTTGCATGTTCTAGGACATTATATAAATGGAATCACATAGTATGTGTTCTTTTCTTGGTCTGGCTTTTAAACTCAGCATAATTATTTTGGGATTCATGCAAGTTGTTGCACATATCAGTAGTTCCTTTTTATTGCTGAGTGGTATTCCACTGTATGGATATACAATGATTTGTTTATTCATTCACTTGTTGATGGATATGTGTGTTTTTTTGCAATTTTTGGATATTACTAATAAAGCTGCTACAAACTTTCATGTGCAAGTGATTGTATGGACATGTGTTCATCTTTCATGGTTAAATACCTAAGAATATAATGACTGGGTTATATAGTAGGTCTATATTTTAACATTTTAAAGACACTGTCAAACTGTTTTCCAAAGAAAATTGTTATATAATTTGTTATATAATTTTTACATTCCCACCAGCAGTATATGAGAGTTTCAGTTGCTCCATCTCCTTACCAACATTTGGTATGGTCAGTCTTGTTTTAATTTTGAACATCTGGTAAGTGTGTAGTGATACCATATTGTGGTTTTGAATTGCATTACCCTAATAACTGATGATGTTAGGCATCTCTTCATGTGCTTAGTTGACATATATCTATCTTTTCTGATGAAATGTCTGTTTAAATCTTTGGCCCATTTTCTATTGGGTAATTTTCTTACTGAATTTTGAGTCTTTATATATTTTGGATGGTAAGTCCTTTATCATGTATGTTTGAAAATATTTTCTTCTGGTCTATGACTTGTCCTTTCATACTCTTTACAGGGTCTTTCAAAAAGCAGAAGTTCTTAATTTTGATGAAGTCTGATTTATATATATTTTTTCCTTTTATGAATTGTGTTTTTTGGTGTCCTGCTTAAGGAATATTCGCCTAATCCTAGGTCACAAAGATTTTCTCTTATATTTTCTAGAAGTTTTGTAGTTTCTGGTTTTACATTTATGTTTATAATCAATTTTGAGTTCATTTTCATATATGGTGATAAATGTGTGTTGAAGTCCTTTTTATCGTATATAGATATCTCATTGTTTTAGCATCATCATTGGAGAATACTGTGCTTTCTCCACTCAATTACCTTGCATTTTTTGTTGAAAATCGATTGACCGTATATGTGAAGATCTATTTGTAGACACTGTTCTGTTCAGTTGATCTGTTTGTCTGTCTTTATGCCAATACAACACTTTCTTGATTACTATACTTTTATAATATGTCTTAAAGTCAGGTACTGCAAATCCTTGAGCTTTGCTCTTCTTTTTCAAAGTTGTTTTGCCTCTTCTAGGTCCTTTGCATTTCCATATCAATTTAAAAATCAGCTTTTCACTTTCTACAAAAAAGCCTGCTGGGATTTTGATTGGGATTGTATTGAATCTGTAGTTCAACTTGCCAATAACTGACATTTTCACAGTACTGAGTCTTCCAATCCATGAACATAGTATCTCTCTCCATTTATTTAAGTTTTCTGTAATTTCTCTCGGCAGTGTCTTGTCATTTTCAGTGTACAGGTCTTGCATGTCTTTTGTCAGATTTATCTCTAAGTATTTTCTTTTTAAAAAATTCTGTTGTAACTTGAATTACTTTCTTAATTTTATTTTCAAATTGGATGGAAATATGATTACTATTTTTGTATATTGGACTTTGTATCCCACAGTATAACTAAAATTACTGATTTTATCTAGCAACTTTTTGGTAGACTACAACTAGAACTTTCTATTGGTAATCTGCACATAAGGAGTTTTACTTCTTCTTTTCCATTATGGACATCATTTATTTGTCTTTGTTACACTGGCTTGATCCTCCAGATCAGTGTTGAAAAGTATTGGTAAGAGCAGACATTCTTGCCTTATTTCTGATTTTAGGGGAGAAAGCATATTTTCACCATAAATTACAAAGTTAAGTATAGGTCTTTTTGCATGTTCTTTATCAGGTTGAAAAAGTTCCCTTCTATTACTAGTTTGTTGGGTTTTTATCAGGAATGTATGTTAGATTTTGTCAAATCCTTTTTTTTTTGCAGTTATTGAGATGATGATCATGTTTTTTTCTTCTTTAATATTTTAATATGGTGAATTACATTGATTGATTGTCAAATGTTGAAGCAGCCTTGCATCTGTGGATGAACCCCATGTAGTCATGATGTATTATCCTTTTTGCATATTGGACGTTATTTACTAAAAGTTTGTTAAGAATTTTTGCATCTATTTTCATGAGAGATATTTGACTGTTGTTTTCTTTATTGTTTATATCTAATTTTGGTGTCTGAGCAATTCTGGTTTCATAGAATGAGTTGGGTAGAATTTTCTCCTCTTCAATTTTTTGGAAAAGTTCAATGTTAAATTGTCATTAAATGATTGGTAGTATTCACTAGTGAAGCTATATGGGCCTGAAGTGTTTTTTTTAATGGTATGGTGTTTAACTATAAATTCAATTTATTTAATATACTTAGGGCCATTCAGTTCATCTTTCTTTTTGAATGAGCTTTAGTATCTTGTGTCTTTTAAGGAATTTGTCCATTTCATCAAAGTTATCAAATTCACTGGCATAAAGTTTTCATAATATCCCCTTATGACTTTTATAGGTATAGAATCGTTAGTGATGTTGATATCATCATTCCTGATGTTGGTATTTTGTATCTTCTTTTTTTATCTCACTTAGCCTTGCTAGAGGTTTATCAATTTTATTGTTCTTCTTAGAGAATCAGCCAGCTTTTGGTTTCACTGATTTTTTCTATTGTATTTGTTTTCTGTTTCATTGTTTTCCACTTTAATTTTTATTACTTCATTTTTCTCTACTTAATTTTGTGTTTCACTAGCTTTTCTGGTTTTTAAGATGGAAGCAGAAATTATTGATTTGAGACCTTTTCTTCTTTTCTAATATAAGCATATAGTGTTACAAGTTTCCCTCTAAATACTGCTTTAGCATCATCTCACAAATTTTGATATGTGATGTTTTTATTTTCTTTTAGTTCACCGTATTTTCTAATTTCCTTTTATTTCTTCTTTGTCTCATGGGTTATTTAGAAGTATGCTAATTAATTTAAAAATATTTAGGCAGTTTCCAGATAAATTTCTATTATTGATTTCTAAATTAATTTTATTGTAGTCATAAAGCACACTTTGTATGACTTGAATTCTCTTAAATTCACTTAAATTATTTTATGCTTCAGAATATGGTATATCTTGGTAAATGTTCCATGTGTACTTGAGAAGAATGTGTATTCTGCTTTTGGGTAGTAGAAGGTTCTGTAAATGTCGATTAGATTAAGTTGGTTGATAGTGGTATTAAGTCTACTATATTCTTCCTAATTTTTTCTCTACATGTTCTAACATTTTTTGAGAGACAGGGATTGAAACCTTTTACTATAATTATGGATTTATCTATTTCTTCCTGAATTTCTGTCAGATTTTGCTTCATGTATTTCAAAGTTCTGTTATTAAGTGCGTAAACCTTTAGGGTTATCATTCCCTCTTGGTGAATTTACCCTTTGTCATTATGAGATGACTTATTTTATCCTTGCTAATGTTCTTTGCTTTGAAATCTCTGTCGATATTAATACAGGCACTCCAGGTTTTTAAAAAATTAGTGGTAGTTTAGTATATTGTTTTCCATATTTTTATTTAATCTATTTGTCCTTATATTTAATGTGCAGTACTTAAGGCAGCATGTAATTCTCCCTGTCTTTTATACAGTCTGAAAATCTATGCTTTTTAATGGGTGTGTCAGACTTGTAACATTTAATCTGACTGTTGATATGGTTGGGTTTGAATCTCCATCTTTCTATTCATGGAGTTATTTTTGTCCCTTCTGTTCTTTGTTCTTTTATTTCTCCTTTGCTGCCTCTTTTTTTTTTTTTTTTTTTTGTGGTACGTGGGCCTCTCACTGTTGTGGCCTCTCCCGTTGCGGAGCACAGGCTCTGGACGTGCAGGCTCAACGGCCATGGCTCACAGGCCTAGCCGCTCTGCGGCATATGGGATCTTCCTGGACTGGGGCACGAACCCGTGTCCCCTGCATCGGCAGGCGGACTCTCAACCCCTGTGCCACCAGGGAAGCCCTGCTGCCTTATTTTTAATTAATTATTTTACATGATTTTATTTTTATACCTTTGGTTGGCTTTTTATCAAAATAACATTTTGTTGTTGTGTTATTTTAGTAGTTGCTTTAGGGTTTGTAGTATAAATTTTTAATGCAGGAGTCAGGAATCTATAGTCTCAGGCCAAATATGGCCTGTTGATTTTTTTGTAAATAAAGTTTTATTGGAACACAACCACACCCATTTGTTTAAGTATTGTCTATGGTTGCTTTTGTGCTTCAGTGGCAGCATAATTGTATGGTCATTTTTTATTGGACGGCAGGTCATTTTTTATTGGATGGCAGGTGTTATGAATTTAATTTTCTTGTACTCTAGATACTTGTGTTTTCTTATAAGTAGTATTTAGCTTTGTTCTGAGATGCAGTTAGCCTGTTGAGTCTTGCT